AGAGAGAGAGAGAGAGAGAGAGAGAGAGAGAGAGAGAGAGAGAGACTGCTTGGAAATATTCCTTATTAAAACTAACAAAAGTTCCAAGCAAAATTTGATTTTACTTTTAAGAGTGTGATTTTTGAATGTGAAAATTTCACTTTGTCATTTTATCCTCGACAGTGAAAGATGTAACGGTCGGTAGCGACCGTCCCCTCTAATATATAATAATCTAGTGCTGCGCATTACATACTCGTTAATAGCATGTACCTAAATTTTATGTGATCAAATGGTCAAATTACTATTTATTTTTTGTCCCCTCTATTAATGTTTGCTCTTTGTTCTTAAAATTCAAAAAACTGACTCCTGTTATAATTGCGGTGGATGGAGAAACTAAGGTCGTGGTTGGTTTGTCATTTTCGGTCCATTTTCCATTTTTCGTTTTCGAAAATGCGAAAAACGTGTTTGATCTGTCGTTTTCGAAAACGCATTTTCAAAAACGAGTTAAAATTTATAACCGAAAACGCAAAATGACTTTTTATCGTTTTCAGCGTTTTCAATTATAAATGTCGAAAACGCTCAAAATGCGAAAAACGGGCTGTTTTCGGGGAAAACTAAAAATCATTTTGAAAATGAAAATGCAAAATGAAAATGCAAACCAACCACTACCTAATGTTTGCCATTTCTATAGCTTTGTTGCTTATTAATTGTAAAATATGGTAAATCTTGAAATGTTTGAGTGAAACTCGATTAAAAAGGTCATGTAAAGATGTGTATGGAACAAAATCTCTGAATGCCTTCAAATGTCGAAGTGATGCCCTAGGGATTATTAAACATAAATTTATGCACGAATTTATGTAGACGAACCACTGTCAGTGGGGGGTGCAGATAAGAAATTGAATTACACTTCGCCATCACAAAATTAAGCAATGACGAAATGACAAGACGAGTTGCTTTCAAAGAAGGGTTGAAACTTTTCAGCGTGTACCTTTCCGCCTCTCCCATTTTCCGGTGATGTCTATGCATTGGAGGTTTTTGGTAGTAGTCTTGATCAAGAACTATTGAGCATTGGCTCATTGGTAAGGTGAGAACTTCGAGCCCAAAAATTAACTTCATGCCGAATTTCTAATGGCACATCCCATGTGAGAAACCAACAAAAAAAGAGACATGGAAAGCTACATGAAGTGAGTTTGACTCATGTATGACCTAGCTGAAACTCGTTTCATACTCAAGACAAGTTGATTCGTTTTATACGTCCACCTGCGTTGAATTAAAAAAATAAAATTAAAGTAGACAATATGAATTAATTCCTTTTCACTCAATATCGAATGGTTCATTGACTAGTAAATTTGAAGCATGCTACAAGGAAATTAAGGGTTTTGCTTGGTATACATAATTATTTATATATCAAGGTGTCTCACACTCATATAAAGTGAGGCCCGTTCGAAGAAAGTGTGAGTGTGGAGCACGTTGATGTACAAATAATTATGTACAAATAGTGTTATCCGAGAATTAATATAGTGAATTTAGGGTGACAGTGGGCAGCACCGACACACCAAGACGAATTTTAATTATTAAATTCGTACACTTTCCACGCCAGGTATTAATTAATTAATTATTGGATTTTTGTAAATATAAATAAATAATTTGGCAGGAAGTAACAAGAATAAATAAATGAATTGTGTGACAGGTACCACGTATTTATGTTCCTGACTAACTCATTTTGGAAAATGGGCCATTGGCAGAGGTTTCCAAACAACCCTTTCTCCTGTCTTTTCTATGCTCTCCGACTCCGACTCTTCTTCCATGGAATTATCGTTTGTTAAATGTTTCTCAACTAACTATATTATTATAGTAATCTTCTTGTATTTGTTTAATCGTATTTTAGATCTACTTAGGTGTTAAACCTAACCCTCATAATGTAAAATTCTTCCCGATAGTTTTAATCGTTGAAAAAGAAACATCAAATCTTAATATGATATCAAAGTCCATTCAGTTCCAACGAGCAAATCAATTAAGATTAAACGAGCACATGAATTTCAATTAATCTGTTCAAACAAACTCAATCTTGTGAGAACATGTTAGAAATAAATCACAATGCCAAGCTTGTCAAGAAAGCAGCCCTGGCTTCGAAGTCATACCAATGCAATGTCGAGCTGGCCTAACTTGACTAGTTGACTTTCATGTCGCCATTCGATACATATTTAAATCACAACATATAAAAATTACTATCACAATAAAATAGAGGACTAATCAATATCTAAAGTATCATTTTGCTTTTGCCTCGATGGACGTAATGGCTTTTTGTGGCCGACAATTATAGTAATAATAAAACAAGGTGAGTGCACAATACCTATATTTCAAATTATTATAGAATTTGACAGTCTCTGTTGGAGAATTACTAGAGATAATTAAACTATGATTATGCACTAAGGATCATCATTATCGAGGGCATTTATAGTAATTAAGAAAGTCAGTAGGACAACGTTTTAGTACCAAGTAATTATGGAAGTCATTAGTGCGTGGGTTTCATTTTACTTTTCACCATCCAAATTTGTCCCAAGAATCAATTAAATTGAAAAAACCCAATTATGTAGTTCAAGTTACAATAACCCACTTCCTTTATAGTGATTCAAAATATTTTGTAGTATGAAAATAAAAAAATAAAAAATAAAAAAGTTCATATTTCGATAAAAAATTTAATTACATTCATAAAGTTCCTGAATTGATTTGATGGAAAATAAAATAATTATTGGATTATTTTCATTTTTATTTACAAAATTATTCCCAGAATGCTGGACAAAACTTGAGAAAGGGTGCGAGAAATTTTCTTTTAAACGCTCATACTTAAATGGGCATACGATCGTATATCTATATTTATGCATTTTTATGTCTTGTCGTTGTTGGAACTTTTGCGAGGATATTTGATGCCTTCTAAAAGGAGGAACCAAGTGAGAAAAACAGGAAAAAGGATTTGAAGAGAGTAAAGCGAAAGCTAAAGGGAATAAAAGAGGTAAGACTAAGAATCTATGCCCGTTAAAAGACGAACCCATTTATCCACCCAAATACTCAAAAGCTACAATTTTATATAGTTAATGCAAATTTGCTTACTCAAAAAGAGTTAAAGATTGAAATGAGTAGATAATACTTGTAAGCTCTATCAAATGAGTGAATAAAAAGTAATTTGATCGATTATAAACATTAGCCAAACAAGGGGCAACAACCATTTTTTGATACACAATACAAGACAGAATTAGACACGACTTTGAACAATAGAAGATGAAGATATGGTGACCATAAATGCAAAAACACGCAAGATTCAAGCTCGAAGAAAATGCAAATAGCAGCAGCAACTTAGTACATTCCTCTTAGCCCCCATTTTGTGAAAATAAAAATAGATGGAATATTAATTTTTTGAAAAATGAGTAGTTGAAAAAGAAGAAATTTTTTTTGATTTACATGTAATATTATTTCATGAAAAATTGTGCAGTTGAAAACAATATAAAGAAAAATGAAATGTAATGGACGCCAAACGAGGGCTAACTTTAAAAGATGACAAAATGATACTCAAATTCATTCCTTTCTTGTAGTGTCAAAATGACTACTAGATTACATTTATTCCTACAATAAAATTAAGCAAGTTATTTCTGCACCTCACCTCATCAATCATACATTCTTAATCGTACACGATCATTTCCTTTTAGACAAGGTTCCCGGGTGGGGCTTCCTTTTTTCTTTTTTTCTTTTTTTTTTTTTTGGGGTGGGGGTTCGGAGGGCACAAATTAAAATTACAAACTCCATGTTACGAGCTAACTAGGTCAGACTTCAAACTAGATTTCTTAGGGGAAAAATAATCAAAATTAATTTAGTGACGAGATATCCAATACAGACCTGAAAACCGTAAAAAGAGATTAAAATTTTCAATCTTACTTCCATAATACGAGTCCTTGTTACAATACAATGAACTTCATATGGAGCAATTGTCCCTTGGATTAAATTTTAATCAGCAAGTGAATTCGGCTTCTTGGCAAACTTTAAGAAGTTCATCAAAAGTTCTGCATCAAAGAAAATGCAAACATAGGACATAACAAGTGGCTTGGGCAATGCCGAGCAGCACTTCAACAACTTAAATAGCAGCTAATTATTACATTCTCAGTTCGACTAGTAAGTTGGTCTAGCCTTCAAAATATTAATAGGTTCATTACATTTCCATCCCCTAACATTACAGTTGGTCTAGCCCCCACAACTTCATTTAAAATATACATAAGATTACTGGAATTAGCCCCAAGAGATTTCCAGATATGCTGTTCATGATGAAAGAATTGGAAACAAAAAGTAAAAGAATCGAGAAGAATAGAGAGGTTAGATGTCAATGGGACATAACGTGTACCCAAAAGTCTGAAAATAGTAATTTAAAAACTAAAAGGGTGCAAAATGAGAACTTAAAGAGTACCAAATCACATATAAATATAGCATAATTGGTGCTACGTAGAGTTTTAATACATAAATGGAGTAGCCACAAAACTTTCAATGGTTTCCATCGAAAAATCAAGAAGCAAATGGAGGAAAACAAAATAAAAATTAGAAATGGATGGTAGAAATTATCCGAGGAAACACGTAATCATGCACAAAAAGTAATCAAGATGGTAGTAGGTGCTCAAAATAAAACGTCTCTTACAATGCTCTAAGATTGGGCAATAAATAAACACAAAAGCACATCTTATTGAAAGGCTAATACCTATTCAAGGGACCACCAAGCAAGAGGAGCCATTGTATTGTATCACAAACAAAAGAAAGATGAAGAAGTGAAAGGTAGAAAAGAGAAACACTGCATAGAATCATATGTCAAAGAACAGAAGGAAAACAGAGAATTGCCTTGTACATCTATTCAACTTCTTCAAATAATATCTAAAGTACAAGGGAAATTACAGATTCCAATATATCTTCAAAAATCGTTCAACACCACAACACATAATCGAGCTTTCAACTCTTGAACTCAACACTCCCTTGGTCATTCTCTACATTGAAAACTATACTAAATGAACTTTGAACTGTTTTGTGTGTTTTCATTATGTTCAACACGTGTATTGTAATTTTGGCAGAAGTGAGGGAACAGTCCGTGTTGAGAGACGTGGCCTACAATCCTTGTCGGATCAAGCAGGGGTAGAAAATTTTAAGTAGAGCACCATGGCTTATGGTGCAGCTTCACATGCAGGAGGAGGTTTTCGAGCAGGTCAAGTTGCACTTCTGGCAAGATACCAGGTGCCAATCCACCAATACTGATGCAACCTTAGCTGCACAGTCTCCTGCCACATGACTCTATTATGGTCCAAATGGACATAACTTTCCCATTCATATCCATTTTGTGGGTACAATCTGCCATTGGAAAGGAAATGAAGTCTATTTCAAACAGTTTTGGTTTCAAGTATAGGCCAAAACTCCTTGTGGATAGAAAATCATAGTAAAAGATTGCAAAATGCTCAAGCTCAACACAGTCTGAATAAGCCTATAAACCATGTTTGATGCACAACACTAGACAAGAATGGATAGGCAAAACTCTGGCTTCTATTTCTCAATTTATTCCAATCCACTTTTGGGTGCAAAGTCGAGGAAAAGAGACTGAGAAGATGTGGTGCATTCTTCTAGGGTTTGAGGCACGGACGTTTTCTCGGGAAATTTCACTGGACTTGAAATTTCTTTATTTGGAAAAGAGTGATGGGCTAAATTGGGGTATAGATTAATGCAGTCTGACAACAAATTACTTATTACTGAAAGATCATTCAGTCCATGATGGAGAATTAAGAGAACATTCCAATGGGTGAGATAGCAAACGATAGTTCATTACTCATTACCCTGCAACACCCCCCCCCCACACCACACACACACATGCAGCAAGAGAGAGAGATCAAGACCCACATAAGTAACTGAATTTGCTGTTGGTGCATGCACATCAAAATCAACAACGGACAACACATCAGACTAATATAGAACCATAACTTCCCTAATAGTCACCTTCACAAATCATATTAGGGTTATGCCAACCTACCTAAGTTATTCTTCATCATCGATAAAGAAGTGCACAAAAATAATCTTAAGAGGAGCGTCTGTAGATCCAGAATAAAGAAAATGCCTTTAGTAGATAAATTATGCGCTTAGAACACAATTGTACAGAAACTGGTCGTTATCACAACCTCTTTTCTATTTCAGTAAAAGATGAGGAATTATTTTGTACCAATATCCATGAACACATTCCTCAGTTCATAAAAATCTAGTAGACACTTCTAATTTATCTCCTAAAATAGAACCCCATATCATTAACAAGAAAAATAAAGATGAAACTCATTGGGAGAAAAGAAGATTTCACTAACAAGTGATTCTGTACCTTGGATAATTTGACAACAGTGTATAAAAGATCCCTCAAATTCACTAGTGCAACGTCTGCCAACAAGAGCAAGAGTCTGCGTGCAACTTTTCAGCCTGCTACCTTCACTGCACCCATCTCGTCAATCTTCGAGCTCTTGTGCTGCATCATTTTAATGTGTGATAAGATGACATGATTGAGGAAAGTGTGGGAGCATGACATAATTTTACATAATCCAAGAATGAAATTAATTCTTCACAATATCTCAGGACTAACAAAATGATTAAGATGATGGAGTCAGATCGATTACTTCTTTGTTACCTTACTTTTCTTGTGTTTATGCACATCATTCATATCATCATCCCCATCATGCTTCCTCTTCTGAAAGTTACAAAACATGTACACATTTAGACAGTTCATTGATTGAAAATCCATAGATGATTTTAAAAATGTAGAAAGTGCAGTTATAGGAACAGATTTTCATAGTAGACTACAGTGGGACCAAATCAATATCATTGAATTTCTGAAATTCCATCAAATCACTCTAAAAGAGTATCTATAGGTCTATGTGTAATCAGTCGTCACCTAAAGTAGCATTTACGCAAGACCAGAAAATAGCAGATTGGCAAACTTCAATAACACACAGAAGAGCTATAGCACATAATAAAAAGTATCATTCAAGATATATGCATATTGCTAAAAGCTTTTATAATGTTAAAGTTATTTTGCTTTCGCAAGGCAAAGCAACTGCAGAAAACATAATTTTCAAACCTTCTCATGATGTTTTTTCGAGTGCTCGGCACCAGAATCATGATGGCCACTTCTATCTTTCTTCTTCTCCTTGTCCTTGTCTTCACTTCGATCTTTATGACGATGTTTGTGCTTCTTGTGCTCTTTATCTTTCTCCTTCTCTTTATCCTTGCGCTTTTTATGCTTCTTTTCCTTGTCTTTAAACTCACTTTTAGTTTTCCCAGCAATTGTAGGAGTACCCTTCTCAGACTGTGAAAAGCATATGACTTAAAAATCAGATCTTCCACTCATGGCATAGCATATAGTAAAAGAATTGAAAAAAATGAAAGGAAATCCAGTTCAGCACCCTATACATTGAACAAGCTAACAATCATTAAGTAGCCAAATCAAATCAAATCAACTCAAGCAGCAGCAAATTTCTTACTGGAGGTAGATCGATATGAGCCGTCTCCCGAAGTTGAAAGGCTTCCCTGAGAACATCCAAGTCGAATGGTTGTATGCGTACATTACTTTCCCTAGGTAAGGACGTATCCTGAATGAGCTCACTTAATTGCATCCCATCCCCTTTTCTGATTTCTGTGTCTCCAACAACATTATGAAGATAGTGTGTGTCTGAAACTGACACAGGAAGTGACTTCTTGCAGAAAAAATCATGGTGAGGTAACAACTTGTAGTGACTAATAAGATCCACAGCACCTGTAAGATCTCTAGGCCCTAATTTCAAGAACAGAACCAAGTCAATTAAATATTGTAAACCGAGTCGACAGAAAAGCAGAGAGGGAGAGACACAGGTTAATGAAATTTCTACTTTATGTCAGCTGTCTTTTTGTACGTTTCTTTCTTTCAACCATAATTATATCTCAGGGAAGAATTTGTTTCATGACACATTCTAATACCCCCACTAAAAATATTTAGGCCTGTCAAACTACCTCAACCCTCTCTCCATATGCCTCCAAAATTCATCTTCCATATTTGGCTACAAATGGTTCTAATGAAGGGCACTAGTAAAATCTAGTCAGTTGGCTCTAAATCACAGCATAAACCATTTTTTTGGTTCTTACTTTTATTTCATTTTTCAACTTGAAGAGGTCCATCCACTTAACAAATACATTGATTACTTTACTTCCACAAAAACTTTCATCGTAAGGATCAAACTCATCTCACACCAAAGGATATAAGAAAACATACAAATAATGCAGGCTGAATATAATAAATGTGATACCCCCAACCATATCGGATTAATATCGTTAAAGCTCATTCAAAGATATGGATGGAGTCACTTTGAAAATAAATAAATAAATGTTATTAAGTTCCGAACAACTGGAACTGTAGCAAGATAAATGCCCTAAGATGCAGAAAACGTGCATACAAATTTCCAGTCTGATATTTGAATATTCTTACCTCTTCCAAACGTCTTGCTATCATGATCCATTTATCAGCATCTAATACACAAGTAGCGCATTAATGCCTGGGATTTTAGACAAACAAGTTAAAGAACGGTCAATAACAGATTAACTGAAGCACTGTCTATGTTTTGAATTTTACATTTCAGATAACAGCTTTTCATCAATAAAGAAAATAAGGGAAACCTGTTAGAAATGTATAATCAATCAACATGATGCATTGAGACAGAAGTGATGGAAGCAAAGGAAGAGAGTGGGAGGTCAAAAAGGTAAGAAATAAGCATAGACTTAAACGGTTACAGATCCCAAACCATATAGGAAGACAAATGAACAAGAGTGAACATGAAGCCTCAAGGTCAACTGCATTTGAAGCAAAAGTAAAGATATCTAGCAAGAGCATTTTTGTTTCTAGATCTTAACTCCGTCATTATTACAAAAAGAAGTGTTCCAGAACTAGCAAAATCCTAAGAATAAGTAGCCTTCCCTGTTTCCCTAAAATTTTAACCATATTATTTAATTGTGTGCTTGGGAAGTGATTAAGCCTCCGTTTGGACACAATTTATAAATTGGTTTATAAATTCAATCAAAGTCACATATTAATTTCAACCGTATATTCATAACTATTACTTATTACTATCCACACGTACGTGGGATCCACTACTATTCATCTTATGATTCCTATTTATATACCATTCATAAATTTGCCAAATAGTGGCTAAAATATGATATAAGCTGGTCAAACATACTTTTAACTACAAATTTTCATGGAAACCACAACTACTCACAATTTATTATCCACACTTTACGTAGGACACAACTTAAAATCCCTTAATTTAACCACTTTCTAAACATGCACTAAAACCCAATTAAACTGCCATCAAATATCTAAACAGTTACCACATAATCCTTGAAATTTCAACAAATTTTGTCATGTAGCACAAAAAAAGACACCATTGCAGCATAAAATCCTAAAACTTTACAATCGAAAAACTAATATAATTTCCGAAAGTGATACTAAGGCTCCTTTTTGGTATTTTAATCCACTTCCTTCATCAATAAGGCTTCACAAAAATGTAATATATAGCCATCATTATTGATGGACCCACAAGAATTCCTTTTTGTTGATTGTTTACTCAACCTGATTCAGTTCAAGTTTTAAGACATTGTTCACACAGAAGTTCTAATAATTTGATCTGCTACAAATGTCAAATTAAGCATGATAAAAACAAATTTCTAAGGTATGGTGTACTCTTAAATGAAGAGTAAACATTTTCACTTATAAAAAGAAATAACAAATAGGTTCAACCTATTTATATTAATCACCATCAATATTAAATTCCCAGCTAGCACCACAAAAGAAGGAAAAGACAAGGTCATGGCCTTATGGCAACAAACCTTGGGCACAAATTGCAATGATACAAAAAATCACCCTCAATCCATATAAGAAATACCGAATATAATGAAATCCAATAGAACCAAAATATGAGGCAACGAAAGCAGTAATGAAATTTTGGGATCATGTAATGGATAACCACATTCAAAAGTTAATGACACAAGCAAGGGTGGGTAACGTGGTCAATACTATTGACGAAGGGAGAAACATCGTTCATTAGATCATTAAGTTATTTGTGACCATTTTGGGATTGGTTGTGTATGATATAACTGTTGTAATAAAATGCAAAGTGATGTAAAGCCCAGAACTGACAGTAGAGGCGAGGGAGAGAAAATAATAATAATAATAATAATAATAATAATAATAATAATAATAATAACTAACAGGCATTAACCAAATTTTGCCCTTGTTTGAGCCCCAATTTGAGGGAAAAAATAAATTTTTGAATAGTGTATTGAGGGGAAATATGTGGTTAAAAAAGAAGAAAAAGTTTTGGATTTTCATGTAATATTATTTTATTGAAGAATGTGTGGCTGAAATGATGTCAAAACACTGTTGAAAAATGCATTTTTCTAAAGAATGGAGCTCAAACAAGGGCTTTGTTTACCTTTTTCCTTATTAAGCTCTACTACATTACAAGTAGCATTACAATCAATGTATGATATTCCTTCCGTAAGGAAATTGTCAATTTGTTTATCCAAACTCTTCCGAAAACCTAGTCAGAGAACCTGACGAAAATGGCCCCTTGGCCCTTTACTTTATATTCACTTGCAATTTTTAGTGGGTTAAATATAAGTTAATTTCCCAAAAATTTTGCACTTTTATACATACTGATAATCTTTATACAAGCTTGGTGGATGCATTTAGGTCCATCAGAGATCAGCACTCTGTACACTCCTTTTCGCATATTTAGTTCGCAGGAAAGCCCCTTGAAATCAGCACTTGCATACTACAACTATTTAATGCAAAAAGACTCCCTTTTTTGTGGGTAATCCACTTCTCCCTCGAAACATGTATAGAATTCCATTTGGCCCCTTAAATTTATAACCCTAATTTCCAAGCTTCAGCAATTAGCATTGAAGCAGTTTCTCAAAATGATCAAAATGCCAGTTTGCAACCTATGTTTATACAAATATTCTGTGAACCTAATTCTCAGGTGCAAGCATTTTCACCTCATTGACTGCATGACAAAAACTCAATAGCAACACAAGCTCATAAAAAACGATAAGAATGACAAATAGATCTTTATTCCTACATAAATGCATTTTCTTGCCACGGTAGATCTAAAATTAAATGCTCCGTGTCCATCTCAAGATAAGTTAATTTGATCTTCTATGGTATACCTCTCCCTTGTATGACCTGTTCTAACACGAACACATTTCACATGTAAGTGAGAGCTTTTTTAGCTAGACGCAAAATATACCAAGCCCCTGTTTGGTTTAGATAAAAATCAAATTTTTTGTAGATTTTAACAAAAGTTAATGAAATGTGTGATCGAAAAGTTGATGAAAGTTGTAAGTCCCATGAAATGTGTAGTTAAAATTAATTGTCTACTTTTAGTTAGATTTTTATCTACTTTTTTAGCTAAACCAGACTGGACTATCTCTTCATTTAGTCTCAATCAGTGCCACTCCACTTGGTGGGTCACATCTTCTTATCTTGTGTTATCTACACTAGATAGCACTATTATAGCCACACGTGTATCTTAAAATCTTATTTCTACTAACATCATCTTATTTAAATTTCCTACACCGTGTGCCCTAAAGCATTGCTTCTCTAATAACCATTATAAAAAACTTGACCAGCAAGACCAAGAAACCTTAGTCTTTCCATGAATCAGAAAGTTAATTCAACTACAAAAGAGGAAAAGGCATACTATAAAATTTAAAGAAAAATAACCACGCACTCACCACAACCCAACTGGTTATCATGAGATATAAATCGAAACATTTATACTAAAAGTACCAAAACAATTTTATGCCAGAAACCCTAATAATCTGATTAAACACCTATTGGCATAGTGCCGTATAATCAAGAAAAAGAGAAACCCTAATTCGAAAATGTTAAAAATAAAAAATTGCCAATCCACAATTGTTGTCGCACCAATTCAATAAAACAAAAATGAAAATTAAGAAAATGGTTTTGATTGTTGTACCTTCAAGATTTATGAAATTCTGTAGCTTTAGCTAATCACCAGAGATTTCGGAGATTCTTTTTAGTTATCGCCGCCTAATAGCCCAATAAGAAGCTGATAATTTTGGCTCAGTTTCAAGATTTTGAATTTCCTATTCTGGAAATTGCAATTGGAGGATCAAGGTTATTGTACGAAGCTCGCGAAGAAAGAAGTTGGAGGGAAAAATTGAGTACAGATCGTTGTGTTGCTTGATTGGGAATCTGGGCATGTCAATGGATTCTTCAATTGGATCTCGCAATTGGCTTCCTGTACACGTGGTGGCAGATAAATGGCTGTTGGATAGCATTTTTTTTATTGGGACACATTTTATCGAATCGAAAGTGCTCGATTTTTTCATATCATATATTTTTTCAACCATGCTATACAGTCAGGAATAGATTTTTATTGACAGACAACACTTAACAGTTCAACACTGAAAGTTGGAAAAAATAAGCTACACAAAAACATTGAATCAAATTAGCATGTTTTCGAATCCTTTTTTCCCTATCCATCCAGTTTTATTCTATTTTTATTAATTAGTACATATTATCTTTTATGATGATTTCAATTCAATTGAACTTTTGTATATGCTATGTTCAAAAATATGATGGATAAATAAGCTTTTCTACATTATCGTAAAAATTTTATACATTATCCACACAGACCCTCTTTAACTCACATTCTTTCAAAAAAAAAAATTTCTTAAATTGACGTCATTTTAATCACACATTCTTCAATAAAATAATATTACACGTAAATCTAAAAAAAAATCTTATATTTAACCACATATTTTTCGTTATGCATTCTTGTTAAAATAATGTGGCTCATAATGAGACAAGACATACTACTTAATAAAAGATTTAAAATAAAAATACAATAAAAAATTGTGGATATAAGCGTCAAAATAAGTAGTCTAATAAAATTTATTCTAGAACTTACTACTAGACAATTAAGGGAAGAATAATAGGCCTTTAAAGAATCAGAATTGGACCTGGACCTGGGCCTGGGCTTAGGGCATGACTCGAAATTTTCAGGAAAATAGTGAAATAATTTAACGACTTCAATTTATTAAACAAAGGAAGAAGAAAAAAGGGGGATTTTGTTAAAAATCCCATTCAAATAATGTATTTGGTTAAACAACCACATTTCAATGTTTATTGGTATAATAGCCTTTAATTACAAAATACAATAAACAAATAATATTAAAAGTCCAAAATGCCCTCACCATGAAAAAGACTCAAATACCCCTTTTAATCCATTCAAATTCCTCATTTCATCTCCAAAAATCATCGACTTGCTCTCCCTGTAGTACCGTAAATTCTTGTTATCTATTACTTCACCCATCTTCTTCAATATTTTGAGCATTTGAACAAGAATTTTGATTTTTATACCATTTTAAAATTGAAATCTCTCCTATATTTGAAGAAAAAAGAAATATATTTTTAGAAATGTCATGTACATTGATACTTTTATTGTTGAATATAGTATGGAATTATATTTTAGTTGATTTTTTTTTTTTTTACATTTGGTGTATTTTGGCTGTCCGTAACTGTTGGACGATAATGACACTCCAATCGTTATCTATAGTGTAGAACGATACTACAGTCGTTATCGTCCATATAGAGCGATAGAAAAACTATAAGTGTAATAAGTGTTTGAAAACTAGGTATAACCACGTCACTTGTACGAATCATATACCACTCAGCGAGAAACATGAACGATGAAGATAAAACGACACATCCGTTAGTTTTTGTGGTTCATGATTTGCTTTTTTGTAATATTTATGATATTTTGCTTTTATCATTTTGAAAAGCAAACTATTTATAATGTTTGGAACAATTGATTTTGTCAGTCTTAGGATCGATGAAACTAGAACGGCAGACATACTTTTATTTTGTAATTATAAAACAATAATGGAATCGTTTTAAATATTTCACCTAAAAAATATAAAAATAATGTTCAAAAATTAAATATTGTTGATTTAATAGAAACTAATTTCAAAGTATACATGGTATCAATTATTCATATCGTGTTTATATACGTAACAACACTTGTGCCATTTTCATAACAGTAACGACATTTGTGCTGTTTTCTTTTTCATGTTAATTAAGTAACGAGCATATCTCTCAAATTTTGTAAATGTCATGTTCATTTTACAATTTAAATGAGTTCAAATTATCGATTATTAAAACTCGGACGGGTCGTGGGTACTCATACTTGTGTTGTCGTTTAACAACACATTTGCCGTTATGTTGATTTCTTTATTATTCTGCTCATTTTTCATCGAAACGACATCAAGTATTAGACTCCCTAACTTAAGAAAGTCGAAAATGTTATTTATGTGGCAAATGTCAATAGAATTGACATAAATTGTATGATATTAAGTTGGAGAAATCACAAGACATTATCTACATTCATTAGAAAATATAATTAATGAGCATCTCTCAAATTTTGTAAAATGTCATGCTCATCATGCAACTTAAATGAGTTCAACTTATTGATTATCGAGGCTCGGATAAATCGTGGGTATTTATAATCGTGTTTATAGATAAATCGACACACATGTAGTTTAACGGTATTTTTGTCGTTATGTTGATTTCTCTAATATTTTGCTTTGTTTTCACCGCAACAACCTCAAACTTTAGACTCCTTAACTTAAGAAAGTCGAAGATGTTAGTTATGTGACAAATATTGGTAGATTTGACATAAATGGTATGATATCGAGTTGGAAAAATCTTGAGGCATTATCAATATTCGTTTGAAAATATAATTAATGAGCATATCTCTCAAATTAGTAAACATGACGTCCATCTTGCAATTTAAATGAGTTCACCTTATCGATTATCGAGGCTCGAATGGGTCATAGGTGCTCATACTTGCATTTATAAGCAAAACAACACATGTGTTGTTTAACGGCACTTTTGTCGTTATGTTGATTTCTCCAATATTTTACTTCGTTTTCACCATATCGACTTCAAGCATTGCACTCCTTAACTTAAAAAAGTCGAAAATGTTAGTTATGTGACAAATATTGGTAAAATTGACGTAGATTGTATGATGTCGAGTTGGAGAAACACAAGACATTATCTACATTCGTTAGAAAATATAATTAATTAACATATCTTTCAAATTTTGTAAATGCCGTATCCATCTTGCAATTTAAATGAGTTCACATTATCGATTATCGAGGCTCAAATGGTTCGTGGTGCTCATACTTGTGTTTATAAGTAGAACGACCCATGCGTTATTTAACGGCACTTTTGTCGTTATGTTGATTTCTCCAATATTTTACTTCGTTTTCACCATACCGACTTCAAGTATTGTACTCCCTAACTTAAGAAAGTCAAAAAGGTTAGTTATGTGACAAAATATTGATGAAATTGACGTAGGTTGTATGATATCGAGTTGAAGAAATCACAAGGTATTATCTACATTTGTTAGAAAAATATAATTAATGAGCATATCTTTTAAATTTTGTAAACGCTATGTCCATCTTGCAACTTAAATGAATTCAACTTATCGATTATCAATGCTCGATGGGGTCGTGGGTACTCATACTCGTCTTTATAAATAGAACAGCACACGTGTTGTTTAACAGCACTTTTGTCGTTATGTTAATTTCTTCAATATTTTACTTCATTTTCACCATAACGACCTCGAGCATTGAATTGCCTGACTTAAAAAAGTCGAAAATGTTAGTTATGTGACAATATATTTGTAGAATTGACATAAATTGCATGATATCGAGTTGAAGAAATCACAAGACATTATCTACATTTGTTAGGAAATATAATTAATGAGCATATCTCTTAAATTTTGTAAACGTCATGTCCATCTTACAACTTAAATGTATTCAACTTATCAATTATCAAGGCTCAAATGGGTCATGGGTGCTCATGCTCGTGTTTATAAATAGAACGACACACATGTTGTTTAACGGCACTTTTGTCGTTATCTTGATTTCTCCAATATTTTACTTCGTTTTTACCATAACGACCTCAAGCATTGAATTCCCTAACTTAAGAAATTCGAAAATGTTAGTTATATGACAAATATCGGTAGAACTGACATAGATTGTATGATATCGAGTTAATGAAATCACAAGGCATTATTTACATTCGTTAGAAAATATAATTAATGAGCATATCTCAAATTTTGTAAACGCCATATTCATCTTGTAATTTAAATGAGTTTAGTTTATCGATTATTGAGTCTCGAATGGGTCGTGAGTGCTCATATTCGTGTTTAACGGCACTTGTGCCATTATGATGATTTCTCCAATATTTTGTTTCTTTTTTACCGCAACGATATCAAGCATTAGACCCCCCCTAACTTAAGAAAGTCAGAATGTTGATTACATGACAAATAATGGTAGAATTGACATAAATTATATAATATCGAGTTGGTGAAATCACAAGTCATTATCTACATTCGTTAGAAAATATAATTAATGCGCATATCTCTCAAGTTTTGTAAACAGCATGTCCATCTTGTAACTTAAATGAGTTCAGCTTATCGATTATTAGGACTCGGATGGGTCGTGGCTACTTATACTCTTGCTTACAGATAAAACGGCACAAGTGGCGTTTAACGGCACTTGTGCCGTTATGATGATTTCTCCAATATTTTGCTTCTTTTTCTGTCGTAACAATCTCAACAATTGGACCTCTTAACTTAAGAAAGTCGAAAATGTTAGTTATGTAATAAATATTGGTAGAGTTGATATAGGTTATATGATATTGAGTCGATGACATCACAAGTCATGATCTACTTTTGTTTATAAATATAATTAATGAGCATATCTTTCAAATTTTATAAATGATATGTCCATCTTGCCATATAAATGAGTTCAACTTATCGATTATCGGGATTCAAATGGGTCCTGTCTGTTTATACTTTTGTTTATAGAGAGAACGGCGTAAGTGTCGCCTAATAACACTTATGCCGTTTTGTTGATTTCTTCAATACTTTGCTTCGTTTTCACCGTAACGATCACATGTCTTGGATCTTCTAACTTCTCTTCTGCTATTCTCGTGAACGAGTTTGTGTATCGTTAAAACGTCACTTGTGCAACTGAAATGAGCAAATCTCTAACTTTTAGAAACAATATATCCATTTTGCAACTGAAATGAGCACAACTTATTGATTCTCAGGACATGAATGGGTCGTAGTTATGTATACTCGTGTTTATAGACAGAGTTTAATGGCTCTTGTGCTGTTCTGTTAATTTTTCAAGTATTTTGTTTCTTTTCCAACTCAACGACCTCAAATATTGA